TACGAGAGGACCCACCAGAACAAGGCTGGGCAGTTTGTAGATCCGGCTTCCGAGCGGATCTACAACGAGGTTGTTGCCCGAGTTGACGAACGCCAGACCCAGCTGACTCAGCAGACTGGGACTCCAGTCGTATTATCCACTCTTGAAGTGGATAAGATTTACGAGGAGGTAAATAATTTGTTTTACNAAGGCTGGGCAGTTTGTAGATCCGGCTTCCGAGCGGATCTACAACGAGGTTGTTGCCCGAGTTGACGAACGCCAGACCCAGCTGACTCAGCAGACTGGGACTCCAGTCGTATTATCCACTCTTGAAGTGGATAAGATTTACGAGGAGGTAAATAATTTGTTTTACTATTAATTTTTAATATTTATTTAAATTTTTTCTTTTTGTCATTAATATTTTATTTACAGGTCGCCCCTAGGAAAAAGGGGCGTATCGTCGGGATCGGCTCGGTTAACGATGTCCCTGCAGCGACATCGTCTTATCATCAGGAGCAGCACGATGTCAATGCTCAGCTGCGCTCGGAGTTGCAGACGACGCAGTCTCATGTGAGTTCGCTCACCGAGCATGTGACTTCTCTCACAGATGTCCTCGACATTTTGGCGGTTGGAAACCCGCAATTGGAGGAGATGTTTCATCAGAGACGGGAACGCGGAGGGATTCCAACCCAATAGCATCCACCATCACAGTCACAGCCGGCAACCAACTTTGGAGAGGATTTGGCGAGCCAGGACGAGTTCCTTCGGCAATTTCACGATCAGCATCCGTAGTTTTTTTATTTTTAATTGTATATTATGAATTTTAAAACTTAGTTGTATATTATTTAGTTATTTATAAAATATTTTGTTTTTTATTTTTTATTTATAATTTGATTTTTTTTATTTTTAAAAAAATATTTATATTTATAATTAATTTTTTAAAATAGGGAATAAAATATTTCGAAGCAAAATCCTCGTAAAGTTTCCAAGTAATGTCCTCGTAATTAATTCTAGTAAGTTCCTCGTAATGCATTATTACGAGCTTACGAGGAAAAGCTTACTACGAGCTTACGAGGAAACTCTACGAGGACCTTACGAGGAAAAGGTAACCACGACGTTACGAGTCCTCGTAAATTTGCTAAGACCTTATGAGGAAAAAGGATTTACGATGAACGTGTTTCGACGAAACGCGTTTCCTAGTTATTTCCTAGTAAAGGGCCATTTACTAGGAAATAACGAGGAAAACCCGTCCTAGTAAGAGACGAGTTTTCTTGTAGTGGTCCCATAATATATAAATTTTAAAACTCTATTCAGTTAACTACACACAATTTATTTTAAAAACAAACAAAAAATGACCAAATTTTTACTCACTTCAACATCATTAATAAGATCATATTCAGTTACTTCGGTTACATTATTCCGAACTTTATAATGAAACTAGAACTTTGAGCTTCAACATCATTAATAAGAACGTATTCAGTTACTTCATTTACATTATTCAGAACTTTATAAAGAAACTAGAAGAAAACTTTAAATACAAAAATCATAATATGAGTGGAATTTAACGGCACAGAAAATGTTAGCAAAACTACATTCTTTGTTAATAAGGTGTTAGTCTTTTTTTTTTTACATCAAAACGGTTATTCTATTCAAATTTTAGGTAACCTAGGAAATAATATTCCCAACAAGCATTACAGGCCTCCAAAGCCATGTGTGGAGGATAGAGGCTCCAAGCAAAATGAAACATTTTTTGTGGCAAGTTATCTCAGGTTGTGTGGCAACAGCAGAGAGACTCACCTATAGACACCTGGGCACCGATAGGAGTTGTCCTAGATGTGCTGCCCCAGTGGAGTCAATTAACCATCTTATCTTTGAATGCCCCCCTGCCCTGCAGGTTTGGGCCATATCAGACTATCCGTCCATTCCGGGTGTCTTCCCGAGTACATCAATTTATCAAAATATTGACTTCCTTTTTTGGAAGAGAAAAGAGGTGGCTTCTCAGAGACCACAATTCGACACCTTCCCATGGATCTGTTGGTACATCTGGAAGGCGAGAAACGACAAACTCTTTAATGGGAAAGTCGTTTCTCCAATGGATACCCTCCAACATGCGTCTCTCGAGGCTGAATGTTGGAAAAAAGCTAACATGGGGGATGGAGACGACGACACTCTGGAGGTACCCCGCTCTTTGGAGATCGAGATAGGACCCTATGAGAACCCCAGAACCCCGACCTGCCAAATTGATGCATCATGGATCGATCATGGTAGTGTTAGTGGGCTAGGGTGGATCCTCAAGGATCATGTGGATTATGACTGGATCGGACAACGGGCGTGTAGGAGGACCCGTTCAGCCCTTCATGCTGAGATGGAAGGACTTCTTTGGGCAGTCTCATGCCTGAGGGACTTGCGGATCATTTCGGTGGTGATAGAGACGGACTGCGCGGATTTAGTAGACATGTCTACTAATCCGGAGGAATGGCCAACTTTCGCATCAGAGACTGAGAGGCTCCGGAAACTACAAGAGGACTTTGAGGATATGAGGTTGTCGCATATTCCTCGGAGTAGGAATAGTAGAGCGGATGGACTAGCGAAAGAGGCGAGAAGAAGAGGATCTACCTTTTCCCATATAGATCAGACCAGGCCAGACGGGAATGCTCTTAGGAGGATAGACTCGTCTGTTCACCACTTGATCTAGATATTATGGACTGATGACAAAAAAAAAAAAAAAAAAAAAAAAAAAAAAAAAAAAAAAAAAAAAAAAAAAAAAAAAAAA